TGATAACTTGAGCTACATGTTCACCATGTGATTTACAGTTTCTATTGCGGTATTATTAGTTAGACATGGTTCAAAGTGCAATAAACTACATTCCCATGTAAACTGTTACAAACCTTAAGCTGTTTAGGATAAATGTGTGTAATTTTCTGTTACAATCTGCAGTCATTCTGAAACATTAGGGTAGAAAAAGTAACAGATTTTTACTGAAAAAAAACATCTGATGTTCATTTAGGAGGTTCGCAGGTTATGCAATAAAGTTTGAAAACAGTAAGATGAAAGAAGAATTATTAATCTTAACGTAAAAATCACTTGCACTTGGACTGTTCAACATTCTGACTCCACATGTCCCTAGTGACACAGCGGTATGTCTGTTGACTTACAGTGCTAGAAACCAGGTTTTGATACTTGTGGTGGGCATAGCACAGATAGCTCATTGTGTAGCTTTGTGCTTAAACTACAAATAAATGAGCTGACTCCACATATTCACAGATAAGTCTTTGCTGAAATACTAAATTATAAAATCTGAATTTTTTTTTGTATAAAAGACTTGTAATCTGTACTAACATCTTACCAAATGTTGTGAAGGTACGTGAATTAGCCAGTGTGTGTAGGGCTAATGAACAATACTTTATCCATTTTTTAAAATAATTAATCCATCATTTGAACTATATGTTTTGATATAACATTTTTAGCAACATAATTTTCATAAAAATGTTTCAAAATGCTAATATGGCTATTGAATAATATGCTATTTTCAGATATTCAAACACTTTCTTTGTCTTGGCAAAAGTTATTTTATTTTTTAACTAATCTATAAAAAACAATGTTTATGATTAATATACATTCATTTAATGTTGAATAATTCTTTTAGATTGTTAAATTATGTATCTTTTTTGTATGTTGTTTGGTCAAAAATTTGGTTTAGCTGTTCCTTCAATTTTAACAGTTAATAATATCAATTTTAGAAAATTGGGGATGACAAGAGGACATAGGTGTAATGTTTGTAGAAAATGAGCTAAGATATAAAGAAGGCAATGTTATTTTTCTAACATAGTGGCTTAAACTCATGGAATTAGTTGTAATTGGCAGTAGTGGAGGAAGGCAGCTTACAAAAGTTGATGAGTAAAATCAATGATGTCCTGAAAAATAAAGGGTGGATCTAAGTATTTAGTTTTCTCAAGGGAAGGGGTGCAAGGACTGCATTGAAGGACCAAATTGTCCCTTGTTGTTTAGATTTTTTCAACATTCTAATTGAGGGTAGTGAAAGCTGGAGACGTGTTCATTTAGTATTATAATAAATATTAACTCTTTCCATATGGCCATTCTTTTCTGCACATGTCACAAGGCTTTACTGAGTTTCATTCAAAATTTAATGAAAGTGCTTTACTATTATGGTATATGAATAAACTAAAAATAATCCATACTTTAATATATAAGTTTTAAGTTGACATAGCAATATTAAAAAAATACTCAGTTTCCCCCTAGTATGAGAATTCTAACATTTGCTCTTCTTTAATTTATTTACCATCTATCTGAGAAGTACGAAATTAAATGTAAATTACTAATTATAATATTGTCATCGCTTAGGCAAAGCATAATTTTTATAGACTTCAATCTTACTTGGTTACAGAGCCGTAAAATAGAAAATTAAACCCCTCTTGCCACACCCACCTGTCACATCCTCTTATTTACAAATTGCCAATATTTCTTTTTAACGTTTAATACTTTAGTAAAAATACCTCCTTAAATTCCTGATTTTTTGTGTACAAAAGACTTATAATATTTACTGAAACCTTGCAAAATGTCTTGAAGATACACTAAACATATTAAAAGTTATAGTATGGAAACTAAAGGTCAATTTGTTGTCATTAGCTCAGTTTTATCGACTGAGCCCGTAGTGAGAGAGTTAATACTGTATGTATTTAACAACACATAAACCCCTGGTAGATTAGCTGCTACATAAATCTGTTATTGCAACTAGAGCATGGGTTCAGACCATGCAGCTTACACTGAGTAGGTTGCATTTTATGTAGCTTTGCTCAAAAAACAAACAAACAAATGAAGTTTGCCAGATAATCAGTAAATGTTACAATGCTTTCATATGCAAAATATCTAATTTTTTTTATTAAGTCTTAAGTTTTGTTAAGCAATGTTTTTCTCATGCCTTTTTTTTCTTTTCGCATGTTCATTTTAAGATTAAAAATACTTTTATGCGTCAGAAAATTTTCAGTTATCACATGTGAAATCTTTATAATGTCCAGATAGTTATCAAACGTTTATCAAGAAAGAAACTATATTTTATCTATTATTTCACTAAAAAGTCTCTGTAAGGATTTGGTAGATTTGGCCAATCTTGTAACCACCATAAAAAATTAGGAAATAAAAATATATTATGCCTTTTTCTTTCTAGAATGACTACAAATTATAACACGAAAACATAACTGTTTAGACCAAATAGCTTAAATTTCATAACATTACACATTTATATATATTTATTATTTTTATTATATTGACCTTTCAGCCATGCCTGGCTAACAATACAGAAGTTGCAATAATGTGGCACACATGCTTTCATGTTACCATATCCAGTAATAAGTAATTGACCTTTAGTCTCTACAATGTGACCTGTCTTGGCTGTGTTTTAGTAGACTAGTATTTTGTAAAATGCAGTCACATTTCCATTATTATACATTATATATGTATATAGATTATTACTATTTAGAAATAAGTTCATAAACTTATTTTTCTTAAAACATAGAACAGTAAATTTAGAAGTAAAGCAAACAATTATCTAAAATTTGAAAATTATTATTTTTTAAACACAAGATATGACCTTTGATTATGAATAAAGAAAACTGAAATGGGCAGCAACTGCCTATTTCAACATGAGTTGTATGAAAAATCTTGGAAGGCTAACCTACAAAAGTATCTTGGGGAGAAAGGTCAATGTTTCAAAAGCCTTCTGTCTTTGGTTTATTATGTTCAAGCAGAGTAATATTTTTCAAAGACAGCATACACTTTATGTTTAGATGGAGGTATTCATTGAGACACAACAGCTGAATGGGAGGTGTTATTTAGAATAGCAGCTTGTGGTGAATATATCCTATGTGTAGCAGGGTGGTAGATGTTTTGAAATGCATGTTACCAGATGTGGTGCAGTTGAAAAGTAAAGTTTTATATTGTATTACCTTTTATTTCTCCAGCTACATCCTTATAGTAAGTGCAGTTTATATGAAAAGGATAGTTGATGTGCTTCATACGTAAACAGTATAATGTCAGAACAGTATTCTAAAGCCACAACACAATGTGATTGCAGTTAGTATACACTAAACCATTTAAAGACCCAATGGATAACAAAATTGACATTTAGAATATCTTTTTTGAATATGGGTTTCAATACATTATAGAAACAAAAAGATCAACAAAAAGTTAAAGGAGATGAACATAACAGACATACAAGTCTGTAACACCTATCTATATGCAGTGGCCCATTCTGTCACTGAAGACCATGCAGTAAAATGGAATATAAACCACACATAAGAAAAAAAGAAAAAGAAAAGAAGACTTTATATCAACCTATCTAATAAAACATTTGGTCAACCTATCATAAAACTCGGCAACCCCTTGATACCCCTCTAGAAAGCATTCATATATTATGATACAATATCTTACCTTCCTCACATAATAGCTTTCCTCGGTTTTGTGCTGCCCTCTATATGCACAATATTGCTTGCCACTAGCTTTGAGGCTTCTACCTAAACTTGTGTTTCCATGTGGTATTGCTGCTTTGTAACATGGAAATGAGCATACAGCAACCCTCCTAGTGCAGCTCACTCTCTCTATACTGATTGTAAAATCATCACTTCTCAATTTGGCACTCGCATGTGCAGACGTGTTAATATTTTGCTCATGCCAGTGATTAATATTTCACTTGTTGACACTCATATGGAGGTTAAGATCGTTGGGATCCTACTCCAGAACAGGTGACACACATCCAATGCTGCCTGGTTTTGGACTGGAGTAGATCGGCAATGTACAATCTGACATGTCTTAGCCACACGACACCATAAAGCACATCCAGTTTCCATGTGGTGTTTCTGAACTTGTTTCTTTTCTGCCCAACTTGGCAACACATTTCTTCATTATGGGTGAAAGAGTATGCCCTAGTACAGAAGGGGTACAGTCTCCCATGGGTGTGCCCTTGTACTTTCTTGGTATTGGGTGTTATGCTCCATGGATTCTTCTTTAGACACTTTCTGAAAGAAGCTCATCAAGGTTACTTATGCACTGGTTCCTCAACCACTATAATGTGACATTCTAGTTATGTTAGAGGAGGTAAAGTAACGTATTGATGTTAACATTTTCTAACATTGAAAATGTATTTCCAATAGATACTTACCTCCTCTCACACTTTCCACTCATCCTCCCTGCTTCTTGTGCATCTTTTCTACGATCAGTATAGAGGGTGTGTGACACTCCTATCAGTGAAGGGTTGTTTCACGCTACAGAGCAGCAATACCACGTGGAAACACGTGAGTTCAGATAGGAGCCTCAGGGTTAGTTGTGAGTAAAAACTTGTGCATATAGAGAGCAGCACAAAATCGAGGGAAGCTACTATATGAGCAGAGATATCTATCTGAAATACATTCTCAGTGTTAGAAAATGTTAACTTTAGTTGACTCTAGTTCTATTGGTAGAAATCCCATATGAGTGGATAGCACACCAGACTTTCTTACAAGGAAACTAAGGATTAAAATCCTGGCTCCTGTCACCACATAAAATCCTTTCCAGGACTTCTCTGAAGATAGCAGCCAGAATATAGTATATAAACTAATTATTGTCTAGTAGTAAAAAGAAAAGTAGCAAACTAATAATTAGACTTAGGTGTTCTTAGGAGCTACTAAACATGAAAAGAAGTTTTTAAGTGGTATTATATGAATTCATGGTTTATGCAAAGTTTCTGTCTTTTTCTGCCAAATAACTGTCATAGTATTTTGTAGGACCAGAAACTTAGCTGTATATATTTGCTGTTCTCATTAAATTTCAACCTTTAGATTACAATATATCTTTCCTCTTTATAAGGAAGTTTGCACAATTTAACATTTGTGTATTTTTTTTTGTGGTTTAGAACAGATCACTTAAACACCATCAAATGTTAAATAATCTTATATTTCTTTTTAACCTTTAGTACTTCATCGACTGGACCGGTTAACCTCTGGATTACTGATGTTTGGGTTGAAAGCTGACAGGGTTAAAACAATGATGGATCAAATACGAGAAAGACAAGTCAGCAAAGAATATGTTTGTCGTGTGGACGGTAACTTCCCTGAGTCAGTGTTGTATTGCTAAACATTTCCCAACAGAGTGACTTTTAAAATTAAATAAGCAATGAATACTCTGCCTTTGATTATTTTTAGATAGATAATAAGTGTTTGTTTTTACTACAGTTTCTAAAGGAAATCAACATTAGGAGGCCTTATTTCTTACATAAATGTTTGATCATTTTACCTGAAATCTTAAGATATACAATTTTAAGAATGTTTTGTAGAAAACAGACAATTGGAAGATAAATGTAGTAAATGTCCATGGATAATTAGAATTATGAATCAGAAAAAAAATTTGTTCTATCACTAATGTTAACATGTATTTACATATAGGTAAAGATGCCAATTTTTATAAACATAAAGAATTATAATTTCAAACCTTATATAAAGAAAGATTTGGTCATAATGCTTTTTCTGGAACTTTTTTTCACTTTGCCAAAATATATGAAAAATCTAATTTCTCAAAAAGGTCTTATGTAGAAAAAAAACCGTATTGGAGCTAATAGTGTTATTTTAAAAAGTATTGAGTTTTTTTATGTTAAAGCATGTTCTACTGTAAACATTTTGTGTGTAAATTTACTAATGTTTATTTTGTTAACCATGAAAAAAAACAAAAACAGATGGCATGCATTGTGCATTCTTAGAAGATTCAGTAAATTACCTGCCTTGAAAACAAACTCTGTGTGTATAGAGGAAGGGTGACTGAAAAATAGTTATGTCCAGTTAGTTGGTTATAAAGAATTATTTAAGAATAAAATATTTTGTTTTATCTTTCAGTCAGCCTGTTTGTTGTGTTGAGCCCATTGAAGTAATATCTCACAAGATAGGAGTGTGTGTTGTAAGTCCATCTGGTAAAGGTTGTAAGACAGAGTTTTCCAAGCTTAGTTATAATGGAAAGTCAAGTGTTGTGATGTGTAAGTATGTAAACTTGTTATCAAATAGATTCAGTTATTAGATAGAAAAAAAGTTCTTTAAAATATTATTTGTCAGAAAGAATGTTTTAGAGTTTTCTGTAAGTACTAACATAGCTGGTTGTGGCCAATACTGTTTGTATTTTGATTAGTAAACTTTTGTTTATTCTAATTGTATTAGTTAAATGTTAATTGTAAGTTGTTTTCAGACTATTTGTTCAAATCCTTAAAAAGAAAATCTAAATATTTCATATGATAGTATTTTTTTTACCCATAGAATTTGTACCTTTAGAAATATTGGACTCAACACTAGTAACAGAATGATAGGAAAACAAAATACAAAATAGAGATATAAGAATATATGAAAGAACTCGGCAGCAGAAGGCCATTTGGCTCATTGAGATTACCTTACATTTTATCACCTTATTTAAGGAATCAAAAAGGTAAAATCAAATTTCTCTCTCAGGTCGTCCATTAACAGGTCGAATGCATCAAATAAGAATACATCTGCAGTACCTAGGTAAGTGTTAAATCTTAACATATCAATATTTCATTGATTATTTTATGTGAAAGATTTTTTTACAAAAATAAAAGATGCTATGAATAACTTGTTTCCAAAACATTCTTAAGTCTGCTGACACTTATAGCTATTACTCAACCCTGGTGGTCGAGTAATAGCTATAAGTGTCAGTGGAGGTATGTATTATTGGAAATACATTTTCAATTTAGGAAAATGTTAATTTACAATTTTTTTGGCTATAAAAATGCCTTTGTGATCAGATTCACTTTTAGGGTACATTCAATTTTTTATCCCAATAACTTTGTATTCACTAAACAGTACAACAACACTGTCTTTAGATACCATTTTTCCTTACAAGGCATATAATTATTATACATAGTTATGGTTCTTGAGATTTAAAAATGTGAAGAAAGTAAGAGTTGTATTAATTATTACTTGTTTGTGGATGATTGGAAATTTATGAACATTTTATAGTGTTTATCTCTTATTAAATGTTGTACATAAACATTTGTAGTGGTAAAGTGTAATTGTTTAATGAAAAATACATACTTTTGAATGATTTTGGTAGTATTAATTTATGGGTTAAAACTTACATGTAACAAAGCATTTCTGTAACAATGTGTTTTGGTTCATCATTTTGGGAAATGTTATGTTCTTTTATTTCTTGTTTTTCTTAACTGTAGGACATCCCATTGTGAATGATCCTTTATATAACCATGAAGTGTTTGGGCCAAACAAAGGGAAAGGGGGAGATTTGGGAAAATCAAGGGAACAGGTGAGAGATTTTCATTGTGTGAAAATTAAGTTTGTTTTTGGTCTGGTATGGAAATATAACCACACATTGAATTACCACAGATTCTATACCTAAACGGCTCTGAATACTACAGTCTGTTGCTGAGTGAGTTTGCAATACAGTTTTATGTAATTGAGTAACTGTGAAATGCTACATGTTTGGTAACAAGTCAACAGTGAAATAAGAAATGCTTAGTAATTAGGTGATAGTAAAATTCTGGAACTAAGTAACTGTGGAATATACTACTTAACCCTTTCTTTTACCCTTTTCTTCCCTAAGTATGTTCTGAAAAACATCATATTTTTTTTAAAGTATGCATATAGGCAAAGTGAAATACCAAATGTTTTCTAATAATTTGTTATTAATTTTAATATATATAAAAAAAAGTATAATAAAGCTTTTATTATAAACCCAAAATATCTCATGGAATATATGAAAAGTGTGAAGAAAATAAGATATATGTTTATTTGCATGAAACATCTTAAACATGCAGAAAACAATTACACAATTATAAAAAGAATTAAAAGAAAATCTTTCAGAAAAATATATCAAAGCAATAACATATTCAACTGGATGTTTGTTGTTGTATGGTAGATTCAGAAGCATGGTGTGACACAGTGTGGTACATCACAGTCCAGACAAAAGTACTTGCTCTCTTCTTAGACTATCTTACCTTTTCTTATCAGAAGCTGGCTACGCAATTACCTGCTTGTGCTGATATCTATTGATGAAATATGGAATTAGTATAAAATGGAATTTCAGTCTCACACATGTACTTAGGTAAAAAACTTTCAGGGTACATGCATCACGATTTAACATGGTATAATAGTTATTTACAAGACTGCTTGGCACAAGTATACTTGGGATCACCAGGGAAGCAGTTGATAACACTAAAACTGAGAAACACATGTTTAGTAACTTAGCTGTGATATACCATATAAATGAGTATGATAAATAAATAATTGCTATGTAATAAAGTAAACATGAAATATGATATGTTTAGTAAAAAGCCAGTTGTGATATACCATATTATTTATATCTGAGCAGATGTGAACTGTCAAAAGTTCAGTAAATGAACAGCTGTTAAATGGCACATATTGTTTATCTGTGAAACTTCTGTTAAGCCCAAAATTATTTATTGGGTTTCTTCACCTTTTTAAAACATTTGTTTAGAAAGTTTGTGCAGCAAGTTGCTTGTAGATCCATGAATATGTTATTTATAGGTTTTTAATAACATACAAGTTAAACAAAAGAATTTAAACTGAAATATTAATATTTCAATTAATTTCATTAATGTCTATTGAAGTTCCCTATGTAAGAAAATGAGTGATTTTTATCCAACTTTTGGTCAGTTTAACACTGAGCACTCTTAACAGGCAAAAACATAAAATTACTTAACTTTATCAAGATGGGTTTTCCTATGGGTAGGGGTCAGAGGGTATGTCATCATATTTGTAGACTTACATTCACAATTTTATTGAAATACTGTCTTATGAATGTATGTCAATCAATAAGTCTGGCATCAAATTGTATATTAGTATTATATATTTGTTAATTTCTTAACTTAAAAGTAAATATTAAAACAAAATTGCTAAATATCAATTTTTGTGTGTCATGTGGTATGTTTGGTAAGATTACATTTTATGATGCACATAATACAACGTCTATAGTTTCTTATGAATTAGAAACTGAAATTTCCAATATTGACAAGCTAGTATATGAAAGAAGAACCTCCTATTTTTTATATTTGCTAAGATATTCTATTTAGCAAATCCACCACAGTGGCTCTCCCCCCTTCTTTCATTACTTGTTTACATATACCCACTGTGCTCCATTATGTGTTCATAACCAATCGATAGCTCAGGTTTTCCCCCACATGGCTCTCTCAGCTTTCGTAAGATTTTATGGGCTAAATAACAGTCTTTCTCTTTCAAAGCTTGTATAGTAGAGGTAATACAAAATGGCAATTGGATATTATATTTTTTAGACCCAAATACAATTTAGTTCCTAAGCCTGATAAATTACAGTGAAATTCTGTGGTATTGATATAGTAATTTATAATTTTTTGTTATTTCAAAATGCATATATAAAACCTGAAATTTGACAAGGCTTAGCAGTTTAAGGCAAGCAAGTATAAACTTCATAACACTAAAATTCATAAGCAGTAGAGATCATTGTCTTTTATATTTCTTTATTTGCTGTTCTATGTTTGAAGAACAATAACTGGAATTTAAGAATTTATTTGTAATAGTACTGATATATATATACATATGTAATGTGACTTGTATTTTAAAAAATACTGGTGCACTAGTAGTACAAAGCTAAGACAGTTGCATTTTGTAAAAGCCAGTTTTATGCTATTGAATACAGTAAAATGAGCTGCACATGCACAGGTTGATTGCAATTTCTGTGGCACTATTAGTCAGACACGGCTGAAAAGTCAGTAAAACAAAAATAAGAACTATAAATAGATGTATAATGTTACGAGGTTTAAGCTATTTAGAATAAATATTTGTGGTTTCCTGTTACAAATTTCAGTCATCCTAGAATGCAAAAAAGCATAATTTAAATTTATTTCCTTATTTTTTATAGTGGTTACGAAGCTGGTCAAATTGACCAAACCTGTATAGAGCTAGGGTAGAGAAAATAACAGATAAAGTATAAAGAAACATTTCATAGATATTTAGGAAGTTATAGAGATTATGCAAATGAAACTTGACAATTTTCAGATAAAGAAAAATCTTTATAATCTTAAAATCAAAATTACTTAGCATGCTGGATAGTCAACATTCCGAAAGAAAATATCTCGTGATAAATATTAATACTTAATTTAAAAACCTGATGTTTTATGTACGGAAGTCTTGTAATTCTTACTGATAATCTGCGAAATTTTGTGAAGGTATGCATATATTATCAAAAATTATAGTATAACTACTCTCATGGATAATTTGATTGTTACGGGCTGGGTTGAATCCATCCATCCCATTGTCAGAGAGTTAATATGTGGGTGGTATTGGTAGTAAATGTTATGAAAACAAATGAGCAATTTGAGGGTTAATGTGATACAACTTGTGTGGTGTAACTGAGAGGCTGTGAAATATCACATGTTGGGTAACTGAAAAGCTAAAATAATTTATGTGTAGCTGAGAAGGTGATATCCAAATACCACATGATCAGTAACTAAACAACTGTGAAGTATTATATGTTTTTAGCTGAGAAGGTGTGATATTCAAATTCCAAATGTTTAGTAACCCAACAACATGTCAGTGTTATGTGTAGTGTATGTGAGGCGTGATGTTCAAATATCATATGTTTAGTAACTGAACAACTGGGAAGTATTACACATTATGTGACTGGGAAGGTATGATATTCAAATATCACTTGCTCAGTAATTGAAAAACTGTGAATTATCATGTATTGTGTAGCTGATAAGGTGTGATATTTAAAGCTGAGTGGTTAGAAATATTTGCTAATAAATTTATTAATGGAAAGGTGTTTTTTATTTTTGTTAAACATACACCAATGGAAAGTATGTTTAAGGTGTTTTTATTTCTTGTATCTTCACAAAATATAGCAAGCTTTTAATAAATATACAAGTCTTTTGTACACAAAAAAATCAAATTTTTTGATTAAGTATTTTTATAAACATAACATTAAAGGACAATAAGGGACCTATTGGTCCATCTAGGCTGATCTAACCACTAAATTAAACTAAACCCTTAAAAACAACTCAGAGCCAGCCCTTATTATTTTAATATTTATCTACCTTTCCCTTAATCTTTAAATTAACTGCATCCTCCACATCTGAAGACTACCTGTACCAGTCTCTTAAACCACCCAAGCAATATGCTGTTGTTAGTGGCAGGGCAAATAGGATTTTAGGTTGTATTTACAGAAATATTGAATACAAATTTAAAGAGGTTATAATATCATTTTATTGGTTGCTGGTTAAGACACATCTGTAGTATTGTGTTCCTTACCTCAGAAAGAATTATGGACTGTTGATTTGGTTGATCTTGTAATCGTTATAAAAACATGTAAAGCCACTCCTATCTCTGTTTTTAGTACTCTGTCCCTATTAAAAATCTTTCTCTCTCATGATTTGGCTCTTAACTTTTCCTTGTCTATATGCCTGAAATTGAAATTTCCCATAATTATAACCTCGTTGAAATTTGAATAATTCTTTATCTCTCTCTGTACAGTTTCTCAATTTCTTATAGCCACTACATTTTCAGCCAACCTTTTTTCTTACTGTTTTTTGATTTTGTAGCTTCCCATTTGACCAACTATTTTGTTCTTTTATAGTCCTTCAAAAATCCCATCATTGCAGTGAGTTTAAACTCCTTATATTTATAATGCTTTTGTATAATTTTATCCTATATATCCTTTATGAGCCAACCTGTTTTTTTTTACGTGCAGCTATCTTCTTTTGTCTATAAGGAATATTCCTATCTTGAACATATTAGAATTTAATTAACATTTTTTTCCACACTTGATTGGTATCTCCAACTATTTCAGTTGCCTAATTTACAGCACATAATTCTTGTCTCATCTCTTCAAAATTTGTTTTTGAAATTTGAAACCAAAATCTCCATTTCTTATCTCCATGTGTAGCAAAAAATCTACTCTAATTGAGCAATGATCACTTTCACCCAGATGTTTCCCAACCTCTGTCCTATCAACCATTTCTTTATTAGAAGTTAACAATAAAACCTGAAATAGCATTGTACCTTGTAAATTCTCTAACTAATTGTTCAAGAAAACCATCCTGAACAGTTTGAAAACCTATCTCTCTCTCATGATTTGACTCTTAACTTTTCTTAGTATATATGCCTGAAATTAAAATCTCCCATCATTATAACCTCATTGAAATTTGAAAAATTCTTTATCTCTCTATAGAGTTTCTCAATTTCATCAGTTTCATCTGGTGGTCTGCAACAGATTCCAACTAAAAGCATTTCTCCACTTATAACCACTAACAAAAACTCCAACAGATTCAATCTCATTGTTATTAGCTTTGATTTCTTCAACTTGAACAGATTGAAACTTACATTTTACATGTAAAGCCACTCCTATCTCTGTTTTTAGTACTCTATCCCATTTAAAAAACCTATAACCCTGTATTTCAAAGAAATTCCTTTCATCATAAATCTCTACATTCAATCACATTTCAGTTATTCCTATTATACCCAAATCCTTTGTTTTGATCATTCCTCTAAAGTCATCCATTTTACTAAAGATCCATGAATATATGAAGTCGGAGTGTTGACTACTCCAAGTTCTAGGGGATTTTCATGTTAAGATTAAAAATATTTTTATTTATCTTACAGTTTCCAAATTTCATTTGCATAACCTCTAAAACCACATAAATGAATATCAAACGTTTTTTAAATAAACTTTTATATTTTATCTGTTATTTTTTTTTTACCATAATTCTATATGGACTGTTGATTTGGTTGATCTTGTAACCATTATGAAAACAAGAAATTTAGTACTTGTGTTTGGCCTCTTGTTTTTTTGCTGTCAACCCACTGATGAAATTTTTGTAAGCATAATTATTTTTGTAATTATGGCACTAGTACATGAAATCATTTTTTTTATTTGAAGAATGCACATAAGAACACATAATAATAAAACAAACAAAGCAAACAATGTCCTGTAACTTATAATTTAAGTGGCTTTCAAAATAAGGCATAAGTGTCTTAAAATAATTCCCTTAGTTGCTTGATCTGAGTTTTCAATCTGTGGGTAAAGTAACTAACAAATCTCTTCTAAGACTAAAGTAGTATTCTACATCTTTTAGTAAATTAAAACTTTGTGTTTTTATTAGTTATAGATGATGTAATAGAATAGTCAGAGAGAATTATTGGCTAATTGTGTAAGAGCAGATATGAGAAGTGGATCTAACTATCTAGTTTGTCTCTCCTTAAACAAAAAAGATTGAAGGCTATAAAAGTTAGACATTACCTTAGTAATATCTATAATGAGTAATTTATGTTAAACTCAGGACATCAGAGAGGGGTGATGAAAAATAGAGAATGGGAAAGATGTAGTGGACAAATACCATGATTCTCAAATGAGGAGAGATTGAGGATTTATTCAAATACTTCCTTTAAAAATTAAAACTTATATATTATTAACATTTGATTTATTAACTACATTTTGATGCCAAGTTTATTTGTATACATTGATAATAAAGTAGTTTAAATAAATTTTGAATGCAACTGTGTAAAAGGTCGTGACATGTGCACTTTGATGTACCTGTAACGAGAGAGTTAATTTATTACATTTAATTAATCAGCTAGTACAGTGTTACTTGAACCATAGTATGTACAAGAAGAAATGAAATTGGCAGCGGGTGTTGCCAACCATATGTCTTCCATCTAGTCATCTTTTCAAAATTAGTGACAGTGGCAGATAGCCTTAGTAGCTTTACTATAACAAAGATGGGGTGAAAAAGTTTGGTGATGGCATATCAATTACTTGTATAGTTTGAATAATCAGAAACCCTTATTTTCATGACAGTTGGTTTAATCATAATTTTGGTTAATCGATTAGTTTTCATGACACTGATCAATGTAATTTCTGCTTGTAGGTAATCAGTTGTATCAATTAAATTGCCCAAATCTAGTGATGTTCAAGTTCTACATGTTTAGTAACTGAACAAGTGAAGTATCACGTGTTGTGTAGCTGAAATACCACATGTTCAGTAACTGAATAATTGTAAAGTTATGTTGCTGATAAGGTGTGAAATTCAAATATCACAAGAGGTTTTAATTAGATCTCAAATTGGTCAAGAGATGGAGATATGAGCTAAAAGTTTGTACTTGAAAATTACTCAGAGCCGTTCTATGAGCTGCTATGCCACAGCTAACAAGTAACATAACTGAACATTTCAAAGTATTATGTATTGTGTAGCTCAAAGGATGTGATATTTAAAAAAAGTTTATTTTTACTAAAAAAGTTGTGAAATTTCATATTCTTAGCAAGTAAACTAAAATGTATTCTGAAACTGAACAATTATAAAATGTGTTTTGCTGAGAAGTTGTGATAATTAATGTTCTATAACTGTAATATACCTCATTAATTGTAACAGAAGAATTACACAATATTACAGTTGTGTAGTTTGGAAGATGTTTATGTTCTATAATTGTGATATACTTGGGTACATAAAGTATATCACAACTACACAACATGAATAATGGAGCCACTGTAAAATATTGCATATTCAGCATTTAAACAACTTTGAAATATGTTCTGTGAATGAACAACAACAATAAACTTCTTGTGTTAAACATAGTAACTGTGAAGTGTAATCTGTGCCTAGTATATAGTTTGAAAACTTGCCACATTGATTCAATTGAAATTTACATTAAGGTAAAACTTTACATCTTAACTTTGTTTTACTCCACAGTAATTGTTGTCTGTTGTGAACAGCAATTTAGATATTGAAACAAGTGGCTGTTTTTCAAAACTAGATGAGTATTTTTTCAGTCTTTGAAATTTTTGAATAATGTCATTTATTATTCAACTTTATAAAAAGGACAAGTTCAGGTTCTTAGTTTTAATTTTGCTAAAGCATTTGTATTGTTAACAATGATAAGCTACTATTATGAAACTAAATCAAAGAGTTTCATTATAATGATGTTTGTATTATCAGCACCTTTATTATACTTGTATAGTACTTATGAAACAATAAATAGTTTAATAATTGGTAAGTTCTGAAGGAAAAAAAATTGTCTTTTGTGATAAATTCATGGCTCTCCACTATTTCCTATAATTTTTTAAATTAGTGGTGTCTTTTGATGAGTAAATTTGAAAGTAAAATCCAGTATTGAAAAGTTTGGTATATAAAAAAAAGGATTGAATAAGTTAACTTTTAAGTGAAAAGAACATAACTTAGCACAACCAACAAAATAATGACAATTAGAATATTTTCTGTGGTTGATGTAGGAATACTGTTATTTTAACAACAAGATGACTATGAAAACTTTCAGTATTTCAAAGTTTTTGATGTACTATCAAGTATTTAATGATACCAAGGAAGAATAATTTTCATGTATTTATTTTTCCTCAGCTTCTTGAAGATCTTATAAAAGTACACACTGCAGAAAACTGGCTTAATGAAGAAGAAAGTTCTTCAGGTAAAAACAAAGATGTTTAAAGAATGCTCATATTTTTATTCTTCTTTCTGTTGAATGTACTATCACCAAAGAATTTAAATTTTAAGTTATAAAACATAAATCACTTATTGTTATTGATAATTTAGTCTGTTATTAGAGTGTTTGTTTTAGTTTCTTGATTGTTAGAGGCTCTTTTATTCTTATATCTTGTTCATTGTTTAAACATATTATGTCAAAGTTCCTTTTGTTAGCAGTTCCATTATGTTCCTGATCTAGATGTTTGAAAAATTACCAGCACTAGACCTCAGGTGCTCATTTATACACTGTTTTAAACGTGCATGATTGATCCATATATATCCTCATCCACATTGAGAGCAAACATATCAGTATACAGTGAGGAGATTTGAAGTTTATTAATTCTGTCCTTTATCTTGAAAAATGTCTCAGTTCTTGATACCAAGTGTAAGACAAGATACATTGACATGTGAATAGGTATTTTCCAAGATATTTTTTTATTTCTCAATACATAACTGTTTTTAACCATAAATTGAACAGTTTGATGATAGCTTTGTTATCTTTAAGGAAAAAAAAACAAGTTACTGAATTCTTAAGAGTATTTAATCAAACAATATCCTTGTATTAAGTATACAGCCAAAGAAGAAACAAATTCAAATTTGTATTTTCTAGACCTATGTATTAATAATTTTGGAGATTGTATAGAAATAGCAACATATCATAAATCAACATGGGATTATTTAGTCATGTTGACAGTTTTATGCCTTTTAAATATATGGATAAATATGTTATTTTATGGGAATAGATAATTGTATAGCCAGTAACTATAATTACAGAATGTACATGCCCTGTAAAGTGAGTTTTGATATGCCCAAACTGTCATTTTATGTCAGGCTTTCTTTTATGGGCAGAGACAGTTATATGCTGAGAAACAAAGTTAAAAAATATTTTGAAATCAAAGTATCCATAAATTTCAGTGTATATAGCCTTAAAAACTGTATTGAGAACTTTTTCAAGATAAAGGACAGAATTATGAAACTTCAATGCTTCTACATTGTTATTGATTGTTTGTGTGTTCTTGATGTGGACAAGATTAAGTGGGATCAACCAAACAATGTTTAAAACAAAATATAATGGATCATCTGAAGCCTTGTGCTGGTAGTTCTTTGTTTAATCCTCTCACTATAGAAAGGTCAAAGTTACATTCCAAATTTAATTAAACTACATTATTATCATTGTATATGAATAACCTTGACATCAAAGCATAGTTAATAAATAAATTTTAATATTATATAATTTTTATGTCTTTTAATTTTATAAGGAAATATTTAAAAAATCCTCAATCTCCCCTAGTATGAGAATAATGACATTTGCCCTCTAGATATTCCATCTTCTTTACTTTATTTACCACCTCTCTGAGAAGTTCAAAATTTCACGTGGATTACTCCTTATAATATAGGTATTACTCAGGCAAAGTATAATTTTTATAGCCTTTATTTTTATTTGTTTATGGAGCCATAAACTAGAAAATCAGGCCCATTTGCCATGTCCACCCATCCCAACCTCTCTATGGGTGGTTTGAAATCTGGTGATTCTGTGGCTTTGTGGTTGCTTACATGACCTCCTTTACAGATTCTTTGTTCACTGTATTTGTATGCTATTTCACTTGCCTTGGATCATGTGAAAACTCAGCTGTAAGCTAAATGTGCTATCTCTTCTGACTCACTTAGTTCTCTGAAGACTAAGGAATTGCTTAATGTGGGTTCTCATCCAATTCTCTTGGATATACAGAAACAATTGGCTCTTCTGTTTATCATTTATAGCTATTCAGTTTTTTTATTTCTGGCCATGTTAATATTTGTGGGAACAGGCTCGTTGACACTGCAGCTAAATCTGTCTGCTCTGGCATTGTCACAGCCCTGCCTGTCCCTTGTGTGGACTTCAGACCTATAATCAAGGCACCAGTTAGCATTCGATTTAGAGTGAACAACTTCATAACAAGCTTTTCCAGATAAAGTCTGCTGCTGTTTGGCCGTCTAGTTTTCATAAGGATTGGAGAGTGAGGAAGTTGTCTTGTCTAGGTTATGTATTGGCCACAGTTTCATTGCTCATTGTTTCTTTTACAAGGGACTGATCCACCAATGTAACACTCAAGTCACAACTGCCTATTTTACTTTCATGCTTTCACTGTGACTTCCAGCAGCAATGCCATTTTAGATATGTTTTATCTCAGGGTTTACCATTGGCATTGGACAATGTCATTAGCAATGGTTATGTTGTCCAGAATGATCATGTTTTTAGTTTTTTCCAGGCCTTTTTTTCATTTTCATTATTTTTTCACCTTATTGGTACATATACTGACATTGACTTTTATTTTCTGTTTTTACATTGATAGTAATAATATTTAATTATTTGTGAATCATGTTTGGTGCAGATAGCATTTGTGCCACAAAACATTGACTAACCAGGTTAGATAACTGACCCCTCCAAAAAATAACAACAAAAAAGAACAAGTATAAGAATGGTACACTGTATTTTGTTTTTCCTTCAAATAAAGCATCTTTTTACATGGAGAATGGTGAAAGAATTAATGTTTTATCTTAAATGCACTTATTGAAATGGATTATTTTGCTGCTAGTGAATAGAAGAATATAAAGAGTGATGAATGAGAAATCATTAGAGTAAAGTTCAGCCAGATTGGGATGCATTGAGAAGCTGAAGCTATTAAATATTGTTCTTTTAAGTAAAAATTTTGTGATTTATATTTCTGTGGTAGGTACAAGTAATGACAGTGATCAGACCAAATATGACAAACTTGTAGGAGAAAAGAAAGATGAAAATGAGGACACATCAGGACAACAAGCTACAATAGCAGAAGAAAATAAAAATATAGAATGTGCAGGATCTACTTCCTTAACTTGTGGCATTACTTCTAGTTTAAAACATTACACTGAAAATGATAAGCAGTATGAAAAATTAAAGAAACAGTACGTTTTTGACCCCAAGAAGATAACCTATGATCCCAACTGTTATGACTGTCAACGAAAGTATAAAGATCCAAAACCATCAGATCTCATCATGTTTCTACATGCTCTTAAGTATAAGGTAAGATTCTGAACAGTGAGTGTTATGGGTTTATTGTTATATCTCTGTTCACAGTGTGAAGGAAAAAAATATAGGAAGTTTTTTTTGTTTTTTTAAATTTTGTACCATTAGTTATGTTTATAGAAAAAATATTTTTTAAAGTTTTTTGTTTTACATTTTACAAATACAAGAAGTTATAAGTAATAAAGTTTTATTTCAAAAATTAGGAATGTTTCCACTTTTATAAATCAATATTCCCACAACTAGTAGTATCCTATAATGGCGAGATACAGTTATGTTGTAGTACATATTGTTTGCTGTCTGCCATGAGAGTAAACGTATTTTCTAGTTTGAATTTCAAGTTATATAGAAATTTTAACATATTAAAGATGGTTAAATCTTCTAGATTTGAATTCTTTGATCAGTGGCAAAAAGTACAGTCTTGATAATTTTAACAAGAACAAGGCTTTAAGCATATTATAATAGGTTTGATATTTTAGAAAAATTTGAATTTTGTTTAAGACCAAAGTGTTTAAATGTACAGTCTAATCACTGAGATTCAGTTAATTAAATCTAGTATAGTTTGTACAGCGTTGATTTACGTTTAACTGATTATTCAGATATATAAAATTAAGTAATCTCAGCTTGAAGTAAAATAAGTTACAAAGTAATTTACCCAAACTTTGTGAAATCTCATAAATATCTTGTTTCTCTAGGGTCTTGACTGGGAATTTGAGACAGAGATGCCAGCTTGGGCAAAAGATGATTGGACTGAAAGTTGAAGAATATGAACAAGGTTTCCATTTTGGGTTATCAGATACTTGTGTAAATAAGTGTTGAAATGATATATCTCATTTTTCTACAGACTTTTGTAAATTGTCTGAAATAAACTAAAAAGTGAGAAAGAGATAAGAATTTGGTTTGAACTTTAAACAGAACTATATATATGAGAGTTCATCTTACTAATTAAGTCATATACAAAGATTTCTATAAGAGAAGTTTAGGTTCACTTAGTAACTGATAATGTGTTTGTGTTGGAAACTTGGCAAGCTGTCCGATAACCCAACAGGGGCTGATACCTGTACCATTCCTACAAGTCTTTTTTTTTTTATGCAGTACTACATTAAAAAATTTCTAAACATGTTCTTTTTGTACTACGAATGACGACAATAATGTATGTTATACATCTGAAATTAAATTTACCAATATTCTGAAAAACATGTAAAATATCTGTTATTTGTAATTTTTGTCTAAACTAGTTATAAGAAGCTTCAGAATTTTTTTATAACGTGCACTAGTCTTCTGCTATTGCTCAATATTTGAATGCTGTAAATATTCAGAGCCGGCTTGTAGCAACATTATTGCTCCACAGTAATATATGCTTCGAGAGGTGGAAGTCGACCTTCATGTTTACCCTACATTTGTAGATTTTGTGGTGGTTTTTTTACATGGGTAACTTAAGTTTAAACTGTTCTGACACATAAAATAAAAAAATTCTCACTGTAAAGGATAATAACTTAATAGACTTATGCAGGTCTTATCACAATATGTCGGAAATTTATGTATAAACAATTTACTTATGCTCCTATTTGAACAAAACTTGGAACGTTTAAAAGTAAAAGGGTAAGGGGTATTTTTCTTGATATAAAACATATAACATTGTTTTATGAAAATTTGCATGAAATTTTTTTAAAAATCAGATTTGTTTTTATAACAGTAACTTATAATTATTTAATGCTAATAGATGTAGTAATTTCACCGAAACATCACTTTTTTGTGAAGCATTGTAAAGATGAGTAATTGTGACTCAACCAAGAACACAAGTTAAAAGATGGTACTTAAAGTTGTACCCAACACATCATTTAAGTTGTATATAATGACTCATTTTGCAGTTTGGTTGGTATGTTACTCAAGGATGATGACAAGTCTTTTTTTTTTTTTCAAACATTTATTTTGAATACCTGACAACTTATGAAAGCCACTGACAAATTCAAAAAACATAATCTACATATCACATTAAACAGCCAACAAACAACAACAGTGGTTAACATTGAGCAGTCTTTACTATTACCACTATAAGTATTAACAAATACATGCAAAAGAATTATAAAATTTTAGAATGACCAAACACTTTACTCTTAGTAGTTTTAATATTATATCAGTATCTTATGAAACCATTCCAATTCATGGTTCATTTTAATCCTGTATATTATATACATGGATATTATCAGCAAATTTGCCAAAATCAAGGAAGACTTTTTCTTGTATACTTCTGTCAAATTTCCTTAACTTTATTTCAATGAAAATAGATTAGGAATAATAGAAAATTTTGGATGAAGAACATCAAATGATCTTCAAGTTAGATGTACAACTAGCAGTGATTTTTTAAGAATCTCAAGCACTTAAAACTTTATCAAAGTGATATTGAGGTCAAAATTGTTCTTTGAATTCAACTTCTACAAATAAAATTAGAATGCTAGCATTAAACACCTACTAAATGTATTTATTTCTAAGAAACATTAAAGTAGCAATTTTTGTCTCTCTTCCACAGAATTCACTAGTCTTAATTGAGTATCCTGATTCATAGGATTAGCTTCATACCATATCTGAACGAAACAAAAGTATTCATGGAAATGTTTGTTAAGTTATAAAAGAAAAAAAAAAAAACAGCTAAGAAGTCACATAAATAAACAACCTTTAAGAATATTAACTAAATATGAAGTACTGAAATTTACACAGAAACCTTAAACTTATTTCTAAAAATCAACTAATGCTTGAACTAAAAAGTAGTTAGTTACCAATGAGGATTATGTTATTTTTGATTTTAAAAATTATCACATCCTTTTGTAAGTTGTTTATTTGAAAAAATTGTCAGTAAAGTGATGATAATTTTAACTTAAGTTCACTTACTCACAACAAAACTGCTTGAGCAAAGTAAGCAAGCAGGTAGGAGCCAGAACTAATAAAACTCTTAACATATTTCACTATCATATTTATCATAGCAACTTAAAGACAACTAGATAAAAATCACATCTTAACCTATAAAAAAAGATATGAGTATTAGAGGACAAACAAGTTTCTATTACTTAATTTTAGTTAATGATTTTAAAATTAATGGCTTAAAGTTACTGGAATAATTTAAACAACAGGAATCAACCTTCTTCTGTTGCTATAGGAATAAATGCTAAGATAATTAAATAAAAACGGAATTTGCTTTACTTTCAGTATATTAAAAACAATAGGCAGTTTTATTAACACTATTACTCTTAACGGAGTACAGTTATTAACCAGTTGTGTTTACTGAAATAAGAGTAAAAGCTGATAAGAATGTTTTAGTGATAAAATAATGCAAGTTCACATCACACATTACTAAAATATCACAGACCATAAACTACATTTAAAGCAAGTATACATACATCATTATTTCACAAAAGGTTTGTTCAGTTTTGAGCTCTATATTTTGAATGCTAACTTTAATCTAGAATTACATAAATTTACTATAAATATTTTACCTGATACTAAAGTATGTGTATAATTAAATCACTGTAGTGTACTTTAACAATCTTTTGTTTTGTAAACACCATTCTAAAAAACATTTTAATTACCTCTTGAATTCTGGCAATAAAAGGTTAAGTTAATCACAAATTAAAACCGTAACCCTATCATAAACAGGGTTTTCCAAAGCAACTAAATCTTTATAAACTAAATCATATAACTTTACCTGTCTTATAGTTAATTTCTGAAAAAAAATTTTTTTTTTTTAATAGAGCTAAATCTTTACACACTTATATCTATTGCAAAAATATAATTAAGATAATGTATGTGCATGTACAAATATTCAGTAACTACTTGATGTGTAAATTATTAGTTATGTTTACTTAAAAACCAAAAATAAATGTAAATCTATATGCTGTATTTTTGAATCACGTTACCTAAAAAATAGTGAGGTTACATACATAGCACTGTAGAACAATCAAACTAAACATTAAGGAACCATAAATTTTGATATTTGTAACGTGTAGAAGCACTGAAACTATTATCAATCAAGTTTAAAATTTTACATCTTAGATGAATTTTAATCACTTCTAACTTTCAAAGTTTTTAACAGCTTTAATAACTTAATTTTACAGTTCTTCAACCCCTGTTCAAAATGTTTAGAAGGTTGTTTATGTTTTATAAGTGTAATCATGAGACTAGAATTATTTTTGTATTTGTGAGGGATTTAAAAATGCTTCGACTGGAGTTTACTGTGAGATTGAACTATAACTTATGTTAACTGCTTTACTGAAAGCATCATTATTTCACATGATGAAACTTTCTACCATTCTTCTACATAGTAGATAGAAGAAAATTTAGACATAAGCTTAAAGATCACTCAGTCACAAGTACACCAGTATATACAATATCACAGTCACTTGTAAGCAAACAGGAAAACTTCATTGTCAACTCTATTATCCTTGCATTGTTTTTATAATTCTTCCTACTTAATTTTTCAGTAGATTTTGCCATTTATCAATAAATATTTTAAACATTACTGCATTCTCACCTCTGGACAAACATTTGAACTGATAAACCATTCTTCCTTCTTCTCCATACATTTTAACAAGAGAGAAAACAAAACGTATACAAATGTAAGAAACTAGCTTTAAATTTATAAAAAAAAACGTTTATAACAGATGAAACAATGTACTGTAATCTTTATAAGTAAAAATATAAGAACAGTATATATGATTAGCTATACTCATTACCGAGTTGATTTTTATTTGTGGTCTAAGTAAGTAGCTTGCCCTGATTGGAAGTTAATACTATTTAACTAAAACAATATTCAGGGGATAATAAACTAAGAAATGGATAGCTTCATTATATAGCATACTGATGAAATGTTTATTTAATATTAACTACTTAAAAGAGGTTATTTTTCATTTCTGATATATTCAATTAATTGCTTAAATTGAACTTTTGTGCCTAGATTGATAATTGAAGACAATCAAATCCATTCTCATTTTGACATATTTTGAGTTTGACATTTCAACAAATCTTCATTTGCATTACTTATTGTTTTGATGATTTTTCACCTCATTGACTCAGAGTTGTTAAAAACTGATAAAAATACTTTCTGTATTTTGGTCATTAAATGAAAAAGAAAACTTCACTAACTCTTGATTTGATATATAATGGTCAGAAAAATCTAAAGCAGTTGAAAAAGAAACACATTTAAGAAGATGAATAAAATGCAAATATAAATCTATCCTGTGTATTCTCCAGTGTCACAGGTTTAGTTCTAAAAAGAAATAGATGGAAAAATAAATGATATTTTTGACAACAGCTCTCATGATTAAAAATCATGAAATAGGTAAATAAAATAACAAGCCCTTAATAAAAAAACATTATTACTGACTCTGAATACTTTTATCAAGACTACTTAATAAAAATCAAGTCTCATCTAAACTTTTATAATTGTAGTTTCTACACTAAAAAGCAATTAATGTTGACAGCCAAAAATGATAATTTTCTACTTTTAAAGAAGAAATTCTTGAGTTTTTTTTTTTTTAGTGGTATGCAAACTTTTAACATCTTTTTTGCATGTTGTCCTGTATGGATAAATTAAAGTCAAAAAGTTAACCAATGCTATCCTATTAAATACTATTTTTCAAACTTTGTAAATAGTTATTTCATTTCATTCCCAACCTCACTGCTGGTATTCAAACAGTAAATAACAAACCAAAAATTAAGAGCAGTTTCTTGAAAACTTATAAAATTTCTTGAGGGTACGGGGAGCAACATTTGTTTAAAGTTGCTAAAACATCTTGTTACAATTGACTTTTCAGTTCATGTGAAACAGCAGAAAACAGTATATATGAACACTTGATATGACACACAGGCTACTAGAACTAGCACTAGTTAGTGATTTGGGTAAGTGTAAGAAAGTAGTATAAAACAATGCAAGTATCCATTCCACTAAAGGAAATACTATACATTTTTTTACAATCCTTTGATAAGAAATCTTAACAAGTAAAATATAATATATAGATTACTTAGTTAAATAAAAAAGGAACCAGAATATTTCATCTTTCTTTTGATTTGAAAAAGAATTACCTCAAACACAAATATTTAATATAATGCTTGGAGTTCATTTCAACATCTTAGTCAACTTAAATGCAAAATATTATACTTTAAATATTTAATACACCATTACCCTAAAAAATCAAACTAATAAGGTTCTCTTTTCCTTACGTTAAATAATGAATTAGTTAGTAAAATAATATAAAAAATATAAATTTAAAAGTTGTAAAAGACTGATCAGGGTTGATACATGTAAATATCATTTTGTAAAGCTTTGATAAAAGGTAGTATAACCAATGTTAGGATTTGTTCACATTAAAAATAAAAAGTATTATAATATCAGATAACACAACAGTTACCAATTACTGGAGTTAACAATAAAATATAGTAAAGATGTATGGAAAAGGTGACCCAAACAAAATTTTTAAACACTACATATATATACCTGCCAACAAGAAAATAAAGGGAATAATATTAATTACCTTGAAACATTATTCAATTTTCAGAAACTAAAAAAAAATATAAAAATAAATACAGAATACATTTTAACAAAATTTAAATTACAATTATCTTTACAAAAATAAATATACACATTAAAAATATGGGTATAACAAGCAATACTGCAACCCATTCATTAATACAAGTTTAAATGCAGCTGCCATTAAAGACTAAACAAATATAAAAATTCCTTCATAAGCTTCACTTTCTTTAATGTTTTACTGAATACCTCACATGCTTCAGTTATCAAGTGTGTTTGTTTAAAGTAGATTTTTTCATACGTATATACAACAAATCATCTTTTCCTTTTATGGTTTGAAGAAATTTTCATTGTACATTCTCTTCATTACAATGACACACGTTTTTAACTCAAGTGGAATGAATAATCAACAACTTAACTCAATAGCAAATCATTTTTCTGTTTAAATTCATTCTAAAATACATAGATGAAATCAGAAAAGCAAACTTAATGACATCAGGATTAAAAAAACAAAACAACTTTTTTTTTTAACAGACTATACAACCCCTTACTTTTAACACTATTCATAACTACCACCACCACCACTTCAAGGTTAACAGTTACCACTTCCAGACCTTGAGCCTGGAGCAGTAATTCTATCCGACTGGCTGGTTACTGGTGATTTCCTGTTCCACAGCATGCGATCCAACTCTACTGTGACATCACTCCGTGCCATCATCTTCTCTAGGTCAAATGAGAAAGAAATTATGAAGACGTAAGCATTTCTTCAAAAATTCATGAAAATTGATTCTGAATGAACATTTGTTTTCATACTTACTGTATCGTTGTGATGATCCGAAAAAAAATTCTCAAAGTAGTCCAAACACTCAGTTATTTTACACAGTAGATACACAAAAATGTCAGTAATTAAGAGCCATAATAGACTACAAGACTAATTAATCTGCAATAACTTTTCATGCCAGAGATGTATAACGCACACGAAAAAAGGAAGATAAGACTAGCTTTTTACATCCAATAAACTAAAAACTTATCAATCCAAGTACAGAAGTAAACGTTGGCAGAAACAGAATCTGTTTTTTTAGTGATACACAAAACAATAGAATTACCTTTCTTGGACTTACTATAAATAAAATCTGCAATGGAAGTTTACTACTTTCTGTCATAGAATCAAATATATATAGCATAGCAAGTTCTTTACACTGATGTACATGGCTTCCGAGATATATTACGTTAAGCATTTCATAACCGTATTCCAACTTTAGGGGAGGTTCCACAAATGTGACATGGATCTGCCATTTGTGAGCAAAACTTAGCTATTTTGCAACACTCAAATAATTGAAGAAAAGAAGACCTAGTAAGTAGCAACCAAGACCAGTGGTTCAAATTATTTTCTTTGACCCAAAGTTCAGATCCCGATTTTGCCACATCAAAATAATCTTTGCCAGGACTATGCTGAAGATGACAGTATATTATGTAACCAACGGACTTTCTTTAGTTAAGTTTAGAACTGTTTTCAAGCTGATATGTTGTTTGTGTAATTATTTTAAACTTAAAAAGAGGATTCCCAAAATGTATCACTCTTACATCATTTATAAATTTACATGTCCATGGTATAACCATGATTATGCGGTCTCTACGATTAATTTTTGGAGCCTAAGAATTAAAGAGCATGCTCAAAATACTCCATATAATCAGTCTGCCATTCTTTATCACCATTTGCAAGACTGTGACATTATAATTACTGCCAAGAAATTCAGCATCTTGGGAAGTGTGGTCAATGAAAAGATGCTCTGCACTAAAGAAAGTTTTGGATACACCAGGTACATCCTGAATTGAATGTAAACCAAACAGCTTCATCTTGGCAGCATATTAGTAGCCAAAACCTAAGATGTAGTAACTCAGTACATTAATTAATAATTAAAAAAAAGTAGTTATGGATACAACATATAAAATGTAAGTATAGATTTGATGTCATAGAAAAAACAATTATGAAAAGTTTTAACTGTTGCTACATGTACATTAAGTATTTCATTTTTCCTGTTGACAACAACAAAAGAAACCTAATTTTTCTGTTCATGATCATACAACAACAAAATATATCACATATGCTTTAAGTGATGAATAATAATCCATTTCTGATAGCATCACATATTTTACCCATTTTTATGCTTTGGACCTAATAACAACATGCAGAAGTTTTTCAAAACTTTGTCACGAAACTAAGACAGTGGACATAATTTGTAACATAATGCAAGATTAGCACTATATATATATAAAGTGTCAATAGTATCTGCAATGTAGCATAACCACAGATGTAGTAACAACAGTACGTTAAACTTTTGTTCAAGTTCTCTGATAACTTTAAAAATGCACTTAGAAAACATTACAGCTTCACATACATTTCATACTTTACTGTAAAATTTTTATACTAGCTAAATGACTAGACACTTAAGTATGAGCTTCAGTTTGTACTGAAATGATGTTTGTCCTAACCAAGGATAATCACTGAAGTTTAATACTATCATGCTCTTCGAACCAATTCCATTCAATAAAGCATCAGGAATTGTTGCACTATTGTTACAGAGATTTTGTCCACCTAGGTAGAAATGCAGCACTGTGAGATAGATTGGCCAATAACACTGTTCAGGTGCTTTGGATTTTATTTACTCTCCTACAGGAATAAAAGGATCCACACTCTGCCAAAAGAACATTCCCAGGATATTACATTACATTTCAAAGCTTGCACTGTTGGAACAATACAAATAGGAAAATATTATGTGGTTTTCTCTGTAATTTTACCTTACCTTCAGTATAGAAAATAATGTTGTCTGATGAGTCACATTTCACCAAACATTTCCAAAAGTGTCACTGGAGCTATAATTTGAATTTCAATATAATTTGAGTCTGAAATAAGGGTTTTTAGAATGGTCAGCTGCCTTATGAAAGTTTTTGTAATGTCCTTTACATGGTACATTTGGAGATGGTCAAATCCTAACCACTAATGAAGGAATCAGTTAGCTCTGGGGTACAAGCTGATGTCTCAGGCACTTCACAGACTTTCCAATTGTGTTTTCTCTTGATCTGTCACCAGAAGTTAGTGTCCAGTGTTTCATGTGACACATTCCTTTCAATTGCTATTGCTGATACATAACAGGTCTTTTTGAATAAATGATCAAACCAATGGTCTTTGATAAGAATGCTCATGCTAGATAGGTAACAACTATAATACACCCCTTGAAAGATTCTTCTTCTTAGTAACTTGTAGACCAAGTATCACTACATCTCTGCACTTATAAGGCTCAAGCAATTAGCCACCTGACACAGTACATAGCCTATTTTGCACATACATACAAATGACATGCTTTACAAAAGTGTGTATATATGTGTGAGGCCTAACAAGCTGGGCAGTTAACAAAAAATTTCCATAGAAGTACATATAAATAAAAGAACAGTACCTGGCAATGTCATAAACAAAAAAAACTATACAAATTTAGGTAATGAAGAGATACAGATGTAACATTCAAAATTTACTACAAAGTTGTAAAAAGGCACTGAACATCATTACCTGTAGGCCGAAACGAACTTGTAGTTCCAGATGATGAGCCCGTTTTTCTGTTTAACAAGCTACTGAAGAAATTCTGAAGCACTCCCTCACTTCCTGCAACTCCTTTGCTTCCATCCACCTACAAATATCAAAAACTTTAACCACGTTGTAAGGAATTTCATTTACACACATAAATAAACTATTTAAAACCACAGAGAAATATTTCAAGAGAGAGAACTATACTCCTCTAACATCCTTTTTTGTTTCATTTTTAAAAATTTTAACAGGATGTAACAAGGTAACCAGGGAAATGCTTTATTTTAGGTGATATCTGATAATAGGTGAATAGATATTTTTGTCAGTTACTATTGCTGAAACATAATAAACAGAAAAAACCAGAGAAATATAAAACAACTAAAAGAATTAAGTTCAGGCTTGGCTGAAGTAGTTTGACATATAAAGACTCCTTAACCCCCTAACTATGAGCCTGCCCAGTTTACCAAATTCATAACCTCAAAGTGACCAGAGTTTCTATAGTATAACTTTCAGTATGTTTTGTGTAGTTTTACAAAATTTGACAAGCTTTCAGATAACATTACAAGTCGTTCATATACAAAAAATTAGATTTTTTAATCAAATATTTGTCCATGAATATATGGAGTCAGAATGTTGACTGCTGCAAGTACAAAATTATTTTCATGTTAAGATTAAAAATACACTTCTTCACCTGAAAACTGTCAAATTGAATTTGCATCATTTCTAAAACCTCCTAAATAAAAATCATTTTTTTAGTTGCTTTTATAATAATAAATAAAAAATATACATGAAAAACAAAAAATATGGTACTTACCTGTGTCTTGCATTTTTGCTGTCGACTGTTGATGAAAGTTAAGACTTTTTTTATACTAATGGTACAAGTACACTAAATATTTATTTAATTAAATAATGCTCCTAAGAACACAGAATAATAACATACACAAAAAAAAAACATGTCCTATAACTATCATAATTTATCAGGCTTTCTAACTATGTGATAAGAGCATTTAAAAATTTTGCTAAGCTTGTTTATGTGATTACTACAAGGGAAATTTTCAAACTGGAAGCAAAATAAACAATATTATCTACAGAAAATAATATAATATAATGCATCATTTGATAGATTAAAACTATGGCTTCCCATTGGTTATAAATAATATAGTATAAAATGTCAGAAAGAACTATTGGCAATTTTTGAAAGATACTATGTGACAGATCGGCATGGCAAGTGGGTCTGACTGTTTAGTGTATGGCTCCATAAACAAATAAGATTGAACGCTATAAAAATTATACTTTGCCTTAGTAATACCTATATAATAATTAGTAATTTAAGTTAGATTTTGTACTTATCAGAGTGGTAGTAAATAAATTAGAGAAGAGGGAAGACCTAGAGAGCAAATGTTGCAATTCTCATACTAGAGCACAACGTTTATTGTCTTTAGTACCCTTTTCTATCAGTACATTCTGAGTGAGGGAGATAAATGTCAAATCAAATGGACCACCAATGTTCTCCATGGTATTGCCTCAGAGGAAAGTAATCAAGCTTTTGTCAACATAATAGAATTGTGTAAATACTTCAAGCAACATAACACTAAACTGTATACAAAATATGTGGAAAAAGCTAAATTACTTACCAGAATTACTGGTCTACCATGTATAAATGAGAAAGTTTATGGGTGCCCAGCCAATTGCAGGCTTATCACTACCAGAATTGAAGAAAAACAAGATATTTCACATTTATTCAGTAAAGGCATCATCAGGAACAGACTGATTATGGGCAACTAACAATAGGTTGTGAGGAATAGTGTAAGCAGAAATATGTAGTAAAAGTAGGTAAATATGGCTAATACCACTGAAGATATTAAGTCAGAACTGACAGATGGGCTGGCATAGGTTTTGAGGTTCCTGCAAATCAACCTGTACTAGCAAGACTACGAATGCTATACCACTGTTTCAGGGTAGATTTAATGAAGATATCTATTGTTTTATTGACGCAGTTAACAAATATATATGTGATACCTTTCCACAATTAACTTTTCTGTCCACTGAACTGAATCATTCACTCAATCATTACCCAATAATTTCTCATTACTCAATGACTTCTCATGAACTACTTACTAACTGGAACTGAACTCGTATATATAATGCCTCACCCCTTCTTCCCACACCATGCTAACCTTCTTGATTATTACATCATCAGGATTAGCAGCTCCCTCTAGCAAACATACAAGTTGAAATACTAGAAATACAGATTACAAAAGTGTTTTCTGAATGACTTAAGTAGTGACAAAAGAATAGTCTAGGAGTCTGACAGGAGTACTATTTTTAATCAAACCTATATAAAAGCCAGTGTGTGTGTGTGTATCATGTCATGCTTGATTTCTCAAAATAGGAGGAGTCATAAAAGCCAAAATGCATTTATCCAGATAGAATAGTTCTATTATTGTTTGGCCATTATGATTTTAGTGACAGAGGTGCAAGGGGCAGTGAGGGGTGTGTGTGTGTGTGTGTGTGTTTGTGTGCCATGAAACCTTATAAGTTTAGTGAGTGTTGGTATAATAAGCCTAAAGTAATGATGTAGTGTATGATCACCTAGCTAAGAGCCAAGTGCATAAAATTTATCATGAAAGTAAAAATATCGATTCAATTTTCTACTTAACTTGTTTTTGAATTAAGCTATTTTCTGTTATATCACCAACTTTTTTTTTTATAAAAAAACAAACCTCTTTTAATCAACGGAGACTCTAAATTAAGAATTCAACAAATATTTTTCCAGTTTTGTTGTCTATACATATCATTTTAAACTTTCATTACATAGACTAACAACAATATTAGATTATACTTTAGTTGCTAAGTAACATGGCATAAAAGCCATTGTGTTACCAAAAAAACTAACTGCCTTTTCTATAAATTAGAAGTTGTTAATCTAACTGAGTTTTACCAATAATTATTCTACGAACATGCCAAAAATTTATTTAATGAATGATCTTAATTTTGAATGGCTCACAAAGGAATTTACTGATGTTTGACTGCCTTGACTGCACTTTTTTGCCTCTTTGTTGGTTAAGCTTAATTTTGCAAAATTTATTTATTTTAATTAGATATGAAATGTGAAGTTAGGATATACTATGGGGTGGGGGTGGTAGTACTTGCTCCCTCATTTTTGATGGGCTATACTTTAAGCCAAGGTTTTTTCAAGAAGAGTTACCAAACATTTGGAAGGCAAATCCTTTATAATTTTAAAACAATGTATTTATTTTATTGATTAACATATTATTAAGATATTACATGTATCATTGCAACTAGACCTATACATCATTAAGCATAAATACTTTTCCAATAGCTTATATTCCATATCCTGAATCCACCCCTATCCCTTCTCACATTTTTTTGCTTACTCTGACATTATTGCCATTTCTTAATAAAGTAATTGCAATGAGCCTTTACATTTCTTCTTCCTTCAGTTCACAGAGCTAAAACCAACTTTTTCTGTTTATTTACTCCTTTCTTATTTGTTTTATCAATTTTAAACCTCAACAAGATTTTTTATAGTTAATTTAAGTTTTTAATTTTGTATATTTCTTCCAGTTCTGAGTTTTATTTGCAAGCTTAATTGTCTACATTAATGAGCATGTTTATTTTTCATCTAAGTTTTAGTGTGTAGTTTTTGAGCTTCTAATGACTAAAAAACTGAAGATTTTAACCTTTAGTAAAGGCTAATGAATAATGCAAATAACTAAAAGCTTATTTCCATCTGATGCAAATATGCTACTTTTTTCCAGTTAACCCTTTCACTACTGTCTCAGTCCCAGGGATTGATCTTTTAACCATTTTGTGCTTGTTATAGTTTTCAGGCTATAACTTTTAATACAGTAATCATATCTTCACAAAATTTTGCAGATTATCAGTAAACATTACAAGGCTTTTGTATACAAAATATCAGATTTGTTTTATTCAGTTTAAGATTTTTAAATAATGTTTTTCACATGCATTTTTTCTTTTCGAATGTTGACTATCCAACACGTAAAGTAATTTTTATTTTAAGATTAAAAATACTTTTATGCATAAAATTTTTTCAAATTTCACAGGCAAAATCTTTATAACCTCAAGATAAAACTTTATTTTATCTTCACTATTGTATCTCTGTATGGGTTTGGTCGATTTGACCGACCTTGTAACCACTATAAAAAATTAGGAAATAGGTATAAATTATGCTTTTTTTTGTTCTAAAATGACCTAAAATTATAACACGAAAACACAAATGTTTAGTCTAAATTGCTTAAGTCTCAGAACATTATACATATATATATTTATTATTTTTATTTTCAGCCATGCCTGACTGACATTACAGAAGTTATAATGAAGAGGCGCACATGCACTCATGTTACCATATCCAAGAATATAAAACTGGCCTTTACAAAGTGATCTGTCTTGGCTGTGTTCTAGTGGACCAGTATTTTGTAAATTACAGTCACATTTCATTTATGATACATTACATATGTATATACATTATTACTATTTACAAAT